CCCTTGCTGAAAGCCCACTTTACCAGGCCACTCAGTCAGCCAGATGGTCCATTTGGATATCCCTTCCCTGTGGAGTCAGTGTGTCCCATATCTTCCCAACAGTCTTCCTCAAACAGGGCACTATGGTCAAATAAGGTGAATCTTTGATGTGCACAATCCCTTTTTTGATGCTTTAGGAATTACTTGAACCGAAAAAAGAGCACACCATATGACATTAACACCACATGGCTTTATTAAGATCTTTAAAAGAATGTGAGTAGTATAGCTAGTGTTAAAAACTATATTTACAAAAATCTGCAGTCTCTCCCCGCAATATTCTAAATATGATTTACTATCCTGCAATATAAGTAACATGGACATCCTAAAAAAACACCACCAAACACAAAACATCAAATAGCAGCCAAAAAAAATACCAACCACAGAAAAGCATAGATTTTCTGAAGAGTAGACCTTGGCTGTACTGTTGGAGCACATGCATACACAGGTAAGTATGTGATTAAAGGTTTTCAAATGGTTTAAATTTATTTAAAAAAAAATCCAGTATGACACGTTCTACTTTTTTGTTACCTGGAAAATAAAAATTGCAAGTGAAAAAAAGTCCCCCTACAGAAAATAAAATTATTTTTTCTCCTGAAAATAATTAGGAAAACCCAAACAAAGTCTCTATATTTTTAAGTCTTTGATTTAGTGAAAAAATACAGCCATTGTATTAACATTGAGAATAGGCTTAGGTACTTTGCTGAATAGGAATGGAAGTAAGCATATGTTTTAAATTAATCACATGCATAAATGCTGTCTTGAACCAGAGCAAAGCAGCACTTGGCAATAGAGAAAGCAATTTTCTGCAACAAAAGTTAAATAGAGCCTTTAAATTTTAATGGCTCTGATTGACCTTTTCTTTCATTATTATTTATAGCCTACATTATTCTTCTTTGTCTAGAATTATCAATTCATATCAAGTTAATGGCAAAATGCTTGATGCCCTTGGAAATATCTTCTATTTCTTTTTAAACAACATTATTATTTTAATAATAGTTGAAAGTGTATTACGTTTCCTAAGTCATAGGTATCATAAATCAAACTCAGAGCCCCATTTCTTTTCCCAAACTAGATGTAGAAATTTGTAATTCCACTCCCAGCCCTCCATATGTGTTTTTGCATAATTTTTACCCTAACCACTGAAGAGCGCCCATAAAACAAATTTCAGTGTTCAATAGCTGTGTTGGATAATCTGTGAGGAAACTGTCAGTTTTCTTCTGACATTTTTAAAGAGATTCCGGTGTCACAAGCAGCAAGGAGGGTTAGAATTATGTTATTAGCCTTCAAAGCTGATTATTAATGTGTAACGCTTATTTTATTTAAACTGGCATCCTGTGGAAGCTGACACATCTAACACCTGATCTCCAGTTTCTGGTGGGAATAACTTATTGCAACCATGGAATATTTGGTATGCTGTCCTAAAAGGTGAAGGTGGAAAATATCTCTTGTGGGAGTCATTGCTTACATTTTCAGTGACTTTTCAGACAGTTACACGCATCTGCAAGCATTTATGATACACATCCTGCTTTATATCAGACCTGGTGAGATCCACTTAGAAACTTCCCCAAGTTGCTCTGAAATCCAAATTTTTGTCTGCCTTCAGTGTTAGCATTAGGTTGTATATTTAAGCTAAAATCCATATTCAGACATTGCAGCTGTTAAAATGTAGATAATGAAAGGACACTTTGCATACTTCCTCACAATACATAGTTATAGTTATATATATGGTTATAGTAATGATTTAGTTAGCTGTTTTAAACACATTCATGTCGTGAATGTTAAAAGAGATGTTTACTTTTATCATTGATTTCATTCTGATTCTTACAGGAATGGGTAGCTACATTAGTAACTTTTTCATTGTGTTATTGTAATTTGGTGTGCAGTGATACAATATCCTTCCACATCACCTGGAAGACTCCTGTACCAACCAAGTCTCCCTGGTCTGGGTACCAGGGGGATTTTACCAGGAGGAGACCTGAATATGATGGTTTATGGTGGTTTATGATGCCCTGGTGGGATCATGTCTTGCTTTACAGGATAAAAATTTCACTTTCTGTTCCCTATTTAGGATGAAATACAAGCCATACACTACAAACCATGAAGTATGAAAAATACAATTTCTTTAAGTATTGTTTCAAAATAATTTTGTTTCCACACCCGATCACTTCACCTGAGTATGTTTTTTTGCTGTAATCAGTTAAAAGTTTGTTATTTTTCCCCTTCGTAGACAAGTCCATTTTTATTCTATTTAGGGGGAAAAGTGGACAGAAAGTGTTAAGACGAGAAAAATCTATTGAATTTTAACTCTTAGTTTATCTCTCCAGTTACTTCTGCATCTTTCACTCTAAGTTCTTTTTATTTATTTAACAGATGCATTGACAAATAGTTTAGCTGAGGTCCTAGAAGAGAAACTGTTTCATTAATAACTTTATTTTTAATATCTGATTAGAGAATATGTAACATCAGACAGTCAGATTGTTTTTAGAAACATTTCCGTCACAACATATTCTATTAACATTATACATCTTCGTCCTTTTGCACAGTTTCACAAGGTTTTTCTTTCCCTTCCTGAGTCCTCCTTACTCTCTCTTTTTCTACTATTCACCCAAAATGTTATGGTATTTAGTTTTGAAAAATACCTGGTATGTGATGTTTGAAAAGTATGGAATGGGACTGAGATTTCCACACACAGAGAAATATTTCTTCATTGTTTGACATTTAACCAACAGCAGAGGGGAAATAGTTACTAGTGATGTGCAATTGAAGCTGATACAGCAGAAAATAATATTAATGCACTACCAGTCTCTACCCAGGATGATTATTTTCTGCTTCATCAGCTTTAACATCAGGCACTAATGTGCCAGTGTTAGGCCAACACAGGAGCTTCTGGAGAGCTGAGATTCTGAATGTCTTGTTTTCTCCTGGGATTTAGGACTGTGACTTAAATTTTGTGTGGTTTTTGCTTGCTATTTTTATTTTGGGGTGGCTTTTTTCACTTCAAGTAGACACGAAACAGATGTCTTATTTTCCAGAACTGCATTCTGGGTTACATCCCATTTTTATGGAAACTCTCTAACTAATGGGAATCTTACTTTTTGATCAAAAGTTGCAGCACAATGGAACGTATTATTTAGACAGACAGGAATGGAAGATAGGTACATCATCTTGGCTGATCTGGGAATTAAGGAGTGAATAATGCTTTGAAGGGCAGGGGCTTGTGACAAATTCAAGATTATTTGTTTTAAATGAAATGCATAGGAATATTGAATTATTCATCAATGAGTGGGAACTAAAAGCTCTACAACTTTCCCACTTTATTTATTTTTTCTTTTCATCCTTAAAGAAATTAATTATTATTATCTTACCAGTTTTCCATCCCATGCAAGGGTTAGTATCTCTTCTGCTTCTTTGTTCTTTCTCTTTATGATTTTTTTCAGGAGGGCATAACTGTCATGAGTGGAGCTACCTGAAGAGAAGAGTGCATTAGTTTTGCTTTGGGGGCAACTGCACTTGCTTAGGAAGAGAGACATTTGTAGGTTGTAGGGTGGGATGGGTGGACATATAGGTGAGAAATCTGAAGGAGAGTGGGGAATATAGCATTGCAGAGAGGAGGCACATGATCTGGTTTCTGTAGCTCTAAAAACCAAAACTTTCTAAGAATCAAGCTGCATGTGCTACAACCCCCCAGAATTAGATTAAGATAATCAACAGCAGAAAAAAGATCCTGCTCTAAAGACATAAGGACTGAAAGGTCTATATATACTTAAATAAGGACTGCCAGGACACTGTTTTGCCAGTCTGGATTTATCGATCTTTTTTTGTGTTCAAATACTGTGTTATTCTAATAAATATCTGAAAAGCCAGGTCTAATAAAACCTGGTTTTGATGGCTAAAAAGCCTCTTGGACATCTTTGAGAATGGTTGCTGTAAGGGAGAGATCAGGGCACATTCTCCTCAAAATTCTGGGGCATTTGGGGTCCTGTCACATGCAATTTTATGCCTCATAAAATAGTTGCCTTAGTATATTTGCAATGTAAACCTGAGATTAATTTACTGAACAGGTAGGTAACGTTTATCCAATATGTTGATATAATCTGCATTTCCATAGACTTCTGACTAAAACTGTTACACAGAACTGAAACTGCTAGACTATCGAAATGTTTACCAGCCACACGCTTCATGGCTGGGTGGCATATTGTTTTATGAAGCTTTCATAGCTTTCTCTTTCTTTGCCTCCCCCACCCCCTTGTTTGGTGGAATGATTTTTGGTTAATATACACATTAAAGAAATATTGTGCTCTCAATTGATATTTTAATCAGACATTAATAGGGTCTTTTGAGAAAGGTGGGACAAATGTAGCACTGCAAATGAAAATTTAAATTGTGAACTCTTTCTCGCCCTTTACAGCCTTATACAGGTAAATTAAACTAGGTTGCCAATATTCTTTTTAAACTGATATTCTGTTAAATCCACTGCAGAAATCACATCTGCTTTGAAAACCATAACTGTAGATACATTCCTAAACATACTTTTATGAAGAAGAGATATAAACATCTCAAAGCTACCAAGAGTAGATAACACAGCATGATATATTTAACAACTACTGGAAAAAAATGTTTAGAGGGAAAATACATTCCATGGCTAGATATCTATTTAATGTTTAGATAATTTGGAGAAAAGATAGAGGAATCTTCACTCCCTACTCCCACAGAAATGAAACAAATGAAATTTTAGTGAATATTTTACAGATTCTTTTTTGGCAGTGCACACACAAAGATGATTTGTAGAAACCCAGAGAATTTTCACTAGTATATCAATGAGCAATTGTAATTGTGTTTTTTCCTTAATGAATTCAATCCATTACAAAGGTATAACAAATTTAAAGCTCAGCTCGAAGGACATTTTTCTTTGCCTGTAGCATTTACACTGGTTTCTGTGTTTTGTTTTTTTTTTTTTTAAGGATCATCTGTTTCAACTGGAATCGCACAAATTTGAGAGAGGACGAGGCAGGTGTCCTTTTGACCCCAGTTCTTCCTTCACCTCCATTTTAATTGGTAATGATCTTTATGTCACAAACTTCACGGTCCTGTCAATATGTCATTCTAAGTCTCTTTCTTCAGCACACTGAGGCATTGTCAGTCTTCCCTTGCAATCTTCTATATGTCAGAGTTAATCCTCATGGTGCTGCCTACATTAATATTACATCCCAGACAGCATTAACTCCAGCAAGTGTGTCTCACTGAAGGGAGTAAATTTTATATGACACATGCCTGAAGAGGCAATTGATTGTTGTGTAATTTTGGAAATAGTAATTTCCCACTTTCTTTCAAACCAAGGCAATATGTTTAGTTTAGTCTTTTAGACCATTGAGACAAATGCACAAAATTTACCATTTTTCATCTACTGAGACATAATCTGAATAACAAGTGTCTTGTAAAAATGTGAATTTACCTTTTTTTTTTTTTATATCAAGCATTTATTTTTTATATAAATTACAGATTTTGAGATCAAAATAGATTTTTTTCACTGCTACCTTCTAACAGAACTATCCAAAACTGGAGATTCTCTGTTTAAAGAGTGGATCTTATACTCGACAGTTATAAAAATAGAATTCAGTCTAAAAGTCCTGCAGTGCCAGAAAGCAGGGCTGAGATAGTGCTCCTCTGTGCCTTGCTCCTAAGTATATCTGTAGGGCTGGGACCTTTGAAGTTGTAGCATAGCAAACCATATGGTTTTTTCCTCTATAATGTTTTCCTGAAAACATTTTGTGAGATCAACCAAGCACAGTCTTGGCAATATTATAGTACATTGACTAAAAATAGACTGCAACAGCAGGTAAAAGGTGAAATCTAGATGCACTTAGGGAGTAACACAGTGATTTCTGTTTTCCGAAAACATAAATAAGATGGAAACTGAGCATTCAAAATGAATAGTAATTAAAAGAAAGAGCCAGAAAAAGAGGCTGAAGATCAAATAAATTTTCATATTATCAGGGATAAAAAAGTTAGAGGATTTTAGGGCTATTTGATATTTACATTTGACTTCACATCTTAAATTCAGACAGCTAAAGTCTCTGGTTGTGAAGTGCAATGATATTGCTCCCCCACAGTGATAAGAAGTATTGGTCATGAGTGACAGATGTATTTTTACATGCCAGATTTATTTATTCCTTTACAATAACAAATTACTTGCAAGAAGAATCTTCACCAGTAATGACAAATCTTTTAAATCGCAGCAATTCATCAAAATATTGTTCATTCCCATAAAAAAGAAAAAATTACAGCTCAAATTCTTAAGAGTAAGTGGGTTAAGAAGTCATGAAAAAATCTGAAAAGACTGCTGTATTTTGACCGACCTCCCAAAACCCATGAAGCACAGATTGTTACGCTTTTCTTCCACCCTTATTTCTAAATTGTTTCTACAGTTTTTAACAGATTCCAGTCTTAGCTCAGCCTGGGAACAAAGACTCATCCCATGGAATTTGCTGTAGGCCTGAAAACTCACGGTCTAATCTTGAAGTCCTTCTCAACCTTTCTTCAGACAGAACTAAGTAAATAAATTAACCTGATCATGTTCCTACTGTGAGATCAATGTGAATTTTATTTGCTTAAATGGAACCCAGATTGTCCCACTGAGCACTTCGAGACGAATGGTTAGTCCTTGTGTTTCTGGCCTATTCATTAGTGTGCCTGGATTATGGGAGGTCCTATGGATCCTCGCAGTTTTATCTGAAAGAGAAATGCGTTAAATAATGCATTCCCTGATGAATATTGATCAGAGTCTCGGCTGAAACCATGACAGACATCTACTGACGAAAACTTATAAAATCAATCTCACTAAGCTAACAATTCTGTAATGTGGCAAGATTAACAGGAGAAAATAATACAACAGATCTGATACAACATCAAAAACCAGGCAAACTTTCACCCCTTTATCAAAATTACTATGACCTGAAAAAGCTATTTAGATGTTGTTCTTCTAGGCCTTCATTGGGAATCCTATAATTTCAAGTGATCATAGAATGTTATTATAAAAACACAACAAAATTCTTTGTAGCTTATATATGCTTTTATACTTTTTATGTTATTGGAATTAAACACTTCTAACACTTAGGAAAATGTCTTATAGAAGTTTGCATTTCCATGTATGCTACTATGTCCTACTAACTTCTACTAATCAAGGACACACAGTTTACAGAATAAACAGAATTAGTGCTGTTCCTTAGACTCTAGAATGTATATCCTTTATTTCTGTAGATGTTCATTTGAAAAAAGTAGATGACATAGATTCAAACACAGTGAATATTAATGAATCTTTTAATTGACATTTGAAAATGAGACTGAGATCTCTAATGCCAAATGCATTCTGAAGGAAGGGATGTTCCTTCACTCAGCTGAGCCCTGGTTACAGCTCATGGTGGCCATGACCCCATGACAGGATGTGACAACTGCACTATGCAACTTCCAGGGCTAGTCTTCCAGTTTTCTCTTCAACACTTGGAGGTTGTTTTCCTCTTCATACCTCCAGTTTTCTTAGAAAATGAAATTTGCTCCTGGTATAGAGTCAGCATGTCCTGGGAGGCTGCACCCCAGAGCTGCCTACGCTCTCCCATGTAGGTTCAGCCAATGTGCATGTCCTTGAAAAGATTTTATGCAAACCTGTTAGCAAAGACTTTCACATCCCAGCATCCTCTTCTTCCTAACTAAACAATTCAAAACCTACTTCCATCTCTGCGACTCACATTAACACAACAGCCTACACCAGCATGGCTATCAGCCAACAGTGAGGATGGCAAGGAAACTTTACATATCTCTGATAAAGGTTTAAAAGCCTTAAAAAATCTTGATCTTGAAAGATCATTTGCACCATCACTAATTAAGACCAGATTTAGCCAGTTTAATTTAGGAAGAAAGACAATCTCTTGTTCTGTATCTCTTCATGTATTTCAACACATCAGTTAAAATACCCACTTCAAGAAAACAGTAATTCGTGACTTGGCTTTAAAACTGAATATCCATGCTGTTGTAAGTTTTATTACAGGTTATCTGACCCAGTGGTAAAGTAGCTTATGATGAATTCCTCAATTTATGAACAATTAAATTTTAGCAATTTATTGTCTGCATCAGGAAACAGAATAGATGTTGGACGGCAGACAGGCTGTATAAAATGTATGTGTTTGGATAAATGGCATATAAAACTTTTCGACTTCTATTTCTAATGAACTCTCCCATCTGCTTTCAATAGCCAAAACTATTTTTGATATAAGATCACGCACACTGATTAACTTAGACCACACTAGCTCCTGAAAGCTTAGAAATTAGTTTATGTCTATGTTTTGTTACCTGCAATATATCATGAGCAACTGGTGAAAAACCTAAGCTACATTTTAACATGTTTTTATATTCAGGGAATCCATTTGAACAATATTTTCTGGTTTTAGTGATTTAAAACAGTTTAATATATTTGTATCCCTTGTTTTACTCTAGATACAGAAGTAAAATAAATGCATTTTCTCTTAAAAAAAAAAAGACAGAATACTTAACTGCCAGAAAGAAAAAGCAGATATACAGAGGAAGTTTATCAGCTAAGCAATAGCTAATTTCTTCAAATGTATTTTTTTTCCTACTGTGAAAAGTATCACTTGCTGAAAATGTGAATTGGTATTCTGATTTTAGTTTTCATGTGAGTAACAACTGGTTGGCAGTCAAAGACTCTCTACTCATTATATTCTACTCCTGTATTCATAACAGAGCTAGTCCACTTTGTAGAAAGTGATATAATGAACATTTTACACAAAAAGGACTGCTGATGAACAATAGCATATGTTTGCGTTACATTCCAATTTCAAGCAGGTACACAAAACATGTCAACAAGAAATGAAGGAAACCGACTTCCAAGGTAGAGGCAGACTATTTATAGAAATTCCTTGTATATATTAAGCTTTTTAAAATTAAATCACATGCTTCAATCTGTTTTACTTTAAGGGTGTCATCTAGGAATTCTTGGTTTTAGAAGAAGAACTTTGTATTTGATTTTGTTAATATTTTCCTCTGAGAAAAGGGCAAAACCCCAAGTTTTTAAGTGGTCCCAATTGAACTTTTATGTATTTGTTTGCTTGAAAAGAATGCTAGCTGAAAAGTATGCATGTATCACTTGAATTAAAACTGGTTTTTGAGGTCCATAGGATTTTTTTGTTTTTTTAAATAAAGGAACAAGAAAGTTTCTATCCTTGTTTCAGCAGGATTAACCTGGCTGTATTAAAACTTAAATTTTAGCAATTAATATGTCAAATAGATGTGAAGCTGAGGTTAGACTGGAAGAGGGTGGGAGTGTTGAAGGTCTGTGAAATTGCCCAGTTGATTTTTACTGGAAGATGTGTGATGTGCAGCAGTAGAAAACCCTGCAACCAAGACAGGAAAGAGTTAATACACAGTTGTAGCTTTTTCAATGGAGGAGAAAACAGAAGAAATCTTGACAAGATTTTTCAAACCTTAACCTCAGATTCCCTCCAAATCTAGAATTAGTCAGCACCTGGCACTGTTCAAAATTTGTAACATGGGTTTACAGAACATGCAAAAGACTATTGAAGAGGAAAAGAGAAGATCCTCTGTCAAAAGTGCAAAAGATCTCAGAATTACCTTGTTCTGAGATATTTGCCAGTTACCCTTGTCAGTATTGTCTCATTGCTTTCCTACATCAAGGTGACCTGTCTGCTCACACTTGATACTTGTCTTATGTTTAGTTTAGTTTAGTTACACTTAAGGTTAAAAATCAGGTTTAAGTTCTGTATCTGTACAATATCTCTAATGGAACAATATCCTTCCAAGACTGGAACTTCCATTTTCTCCCCAAAGGATCTCAAAGATAAAGTCAGTATGTATAAAGTCAGTATATCTATGTCAAATAGTAGGAATAGGCTTCATGTCCAACTTCTGAACATCTGGACTTATAATAAATGTCAATCCTGATCATTAGCAATATGTGACAAATCATTTACCCTTCACGGATGCATATTCTGAGATTCACTAGTGTGGAAAAGATAAAAGCATAGTGTTTTGTATTACACATCACCATAATTTAAAAAAAAAAAACCAAACAAGAAACAAACAACAACAACACCAACACAAAAAAACCAACCAAAACCAACACTCAGTCTGAAACACTTTTCCAACAGAATTCTTAATGGGGGATTTATGACTAATGTAACTCATTAATTACAGTTGTAAAGATTGTCTGGAACATTATTCAGACACTGGCAAATTCTGTTGTTTAAGCAGCTCTGTGTTTAAAAAAATAAAACTCTCTATTAGTTTTGGGTAGAACTGATTCTGTAATTTATACTTAACTTTTCATTTCACTTGCAAGTATATTACACTAAATCATGACCATGTATTTTACAAGGCAATATTCATTCTTTAATGAATGTTGCCTAGGGCAAAAAAACCCCTACACACAGTTCTGAATCAGCAGAGGTTTCTAAACCAGCCCCAGCTGCCAAACTATAAACTTTTCAGAATCATTATTCAGACTTATGGTGCCATTTAATTCATATATATCTCTTAAAAGAAACAGAATTCACACTTTGAGGGAGACTAACAAGCAAAATTTTTGCTTTTTCTATAATCCTTTATAAATACGAGCAAATGTTATTTGAATGGATCTGTCATGTTTATTTTGATTGGGGGGTAGGAAGCCGTGTCACTGAAACCTCCACTCAGATTAGCCATGAACTGGAAATTATTTATTTCCCTCGCTTTGTGCAGTTTAATTTCTGCTGTTATTGTCTAACATAAGGATGCCACCTAGTGACAATAGCTGTCTGCTTCTTAGATTGAGTATAAAAATTTCTCATCTAAAGCTACAAGGATATGATCTATATTATTCTTAATGCTTGGCCAGCTAAGGGGAATTGCACCCATGCATAGCTAAAAGGCAGAATTATTGCTGGTATTTCAGTAAAGTAAAATATATCCAATACCACAATTTTGGATGGGTCAGATAGAGATAGGCTGGATTTTTGAACAAGCATATGATCCGGTTGTACCCAACTACATATATATTTTCAACAGGTATTGGCAATCAGCATATTGTTTCTAGTATTTTCCTAAGCTGGCTTAATATGTGAATGCCACCTGAATCCCTTGAAAATGGGATCAAATTACTGTTCCCACAAATTTTTCAGGAAATATTCATCACCGGTTGTGAAGGATGGCTGAGATCTCAGGTCCTGTCCCAACTCTGGTGAATATTTTAAGGATATGAAAACAAGTTATTGCTGGATCAGAGAAAAATATACTGTTTTTCTTTGTCCACTGGACACCTAAGCCCCTCAGCCAGCAAGTTATGCCCAAACTATAGTTATTTCAGGTAAAGTGCAATGGCTCTAATACCCTTCAGCCTAATAAAACATGTGCTTGTTTATAGAAATGGCTTCTAAGGCAGCAGGTACTGCTTCTTATCTCTCCAGCTGGGGAGATAACTGCATCCAGCCCTCCAATATTTTCAGAATGTGCTTCCCTAAGGAATCTTTTTTTTCAACCATGTTTTGCACAGAGCCAAATCTCATAGTTATGCTCAGAAAACACTCCCTTGTTTGTGGTCTGATCTGTGGAGTCAGGTATGTTTTAGCCTGGAGATGTATCTGTACAGCATAGCCCAAATCAGTGGTTTGGTGCATCTATTAATATTCTTTCATTTGCTCTGTATCCTCTGAATTCTTCTGCTGCATTTTCACACCACTTTTTTTGCTCCCATTATTTCTGGTTTGTCATAAACCTAACATGTCCCTTCCAGTTCTGGGACCAAACAACTTGCAACTTCTCATTAGCAAGACTGGGGCACGTCTGGAAGTGCTCAGAAACAAACCACTAGTCAAAGTCTTTGCACTGGTGAAAATTTTAAGTGCCAACAAAGATCCCTGTAGTGCCAGCCATAAACTGAATGACAGTGAGATCTTTGAATGTAGGTGGCTGATGTGTCAGATGTTATTGTTGCAGATATGGTTAGACATTATCTTAATGCCTTCATGTTTTGCATATGAGTCCATCCTGAAGTCATTAAGTCTGTTTTGAAAATGAGGCCAAACAAATGAATGAAATTTAAAATTCTTGTCATCGTGCTGTTCCAACTGTAAATGTTGCAGTGCTGGGAGGAACAATGTCCATATGCTCTTTAGACCACATGTAACTTATTGAGACATCTTCTTACTTGAATTTGAGCAAATATTGAGTCATGTTTATAATGCAGTTCCTATCATATGCAATGAATTTAATAAGTGGAGCATTATCAAATTGTTTTGTTTTGTTTTTTTTTAATGTATGGTCTGCAGGTGGTGAACTTTTTACTGGTCTCTACAGTGACTACTGGGGAAGAGATGCTGCTCTATTTCGCACCATGAATCGCATGGCCCATCTCCGAACTGAACCTGATAGTGAGCGCCTGTTGAAAGGTATGGGAAGGAAGAGAAGGAACAACATGGAATCAAAAGTGTTTTGGATGACTAGAGAATTTTTGTTTAACCAGAAATTAAAAGTATATTGTTCATGCAAGAGTATACCCATTTGGGGATTAATTTGTTTAAACTTTTTCCATTAATTTTTTCATGAACCTCCTGCCAGGGTGAACATATTGAAATCTTTATTTTAATTATCTATTGGATTTAACAAGTGGAACTTTAAGTCCTTCATTTTTCACTTTAAAAATTGCATAGTCTATGCTATTTCATATGTCAGATATAATTCAAATACTGTTTTAAAATTCTCTATTTAGTTAATGGGAGCTTCTACTTAGAACACAGTACTCTTTTTTCCAGATGAGATCATTTTGTCTTTATGTTGCAATAAAACAAGTCACTTTTTGCCAAGTTGTGCAATAATGGAAAAGTATAGATAAACAATGATCATGCAGTTAAATGAAATAAAAAGTTAAAGAAGAAAATTACAATATTCCACAAGAAAAATATTGAGCAAAGTTATGTGTTGGGAAATTTATAAATTATTTCATACTCTTCAATGTGAAATGTAACCAAATTTCAAAATGTTGCAAGTTCTGTGAAATGGAGAGTCGTAATCTTGATTTGTTTTGCTCCAAAAGTATTGCAATATTTTGTCATAACATCGACCTATTTACTGCTAGTGTTTTGCAAGGAGAGTCAATAATTGTCTTTTATGGTGATTCATGTGGTTAGCATCATGTTTTCAGTAAAAGCACATAGAAGTTTTCTCTCAAATTCCTCTCAAATCGTAAGGCAGATTTCTCCCAAATCGTAAGGACAAAATAATTCTGCTGTATACTTCTTCCAACATAAACCTGCCCTGAGACTTGAATTAATTTTTTTAAATGTGTTTGGAAAATGCTTTGATATGCTTTAAGTCTAATACTTAAAGCTTTGCTGAACTGAGTGTTTAGACTAGCTATATATGTATAGCAACAATCAGAAGGATCTTCCCAGTATGTAAGTTAATTTTCTCTTCTTTTGTCTCTGGAAGATTTCATAATTTCAAATATATAGTATTCTCTAAATTATGGCCAAAATATTGTTTCTCATTTTGCCTATAGTTGAAATTTAAATTTGCAGAAAGGTAATATTTTAAAATGTATATTAAAAACACTACAGAAAATTAGCAAGTGTTGTATCAATGTCTTGAAATCCAATGACTATTTTCATAGACAACAGGAAGTTAGAAAATATTTGCATTACCCACTGCTTCTTAAGAAATCATACTAATTGTAAGAATGACATTCTCATTTAAAGACCTTGTAAAAACTTTGCTACAATTCAGTGAGATGAAATCATCCACAGCTCTGCTTGGTGTGGGGTTAAAAGGTGTACAGGCATGGACTGAAGCCTGAACTTAGATTTCAACTTTGCAACAAAATGTGAAAACGGAAGAAATTTAGAAGCTTTTTATTTCATGAAAAAGGTACACAATGCATCTTCTTTCTATGAAGATATATGTTCATGTATTTGCTGAAATACCAGAACTTTTTCTTTATCTAAAAGGCTGTTTGTCCGAGGTTGACATTCTTACACTTGGTTTGTACGGGATCAGAGATTGTTATATGAATATTAGTGCCAGGTTTTAGTTTAATCCAAATTAAAATATATAAGCCCCAGAGAACAGGACTGGAAAAGGGTCTTTTTCTTGCACACATACTAAGGAATATTGATTTGCGAATTGGAGTTATAAAAATAGTTTGACATTAATGTATTCCACATGTTCTATAGGTACCCACCAACAAAAAAGTAGGTTTTTTTTCTTCTTTCTCTCACCCGTTTCCCCTTAGGTATGTATCTGACTGACAGACGCTTGATTCTTTAATTTTATTTTTTTCTTTGCCACCAGCTGATTTAAAGGATTGAAAAAGAAAATAATGTTTTAATAAACTTGATCTCAATTCATTTTTGTTTTCTTTTACAGAGCCAAAATTTGTTGGCTCGTACATGATCCCTGACAATGAAGACCACGATGACAACAAAGTATATTTCTTCTTTACTGAAAAAGCATTAGAGGCCGAGACAAGCACTCATGCTATATATACCAGAGTGGGACGCGTATGTGCAGTAAGTTCTTTTTTTTTACTCCCAGCCAAGTGAAAAAGAAAGCATGCTCCTTTCTTTGGTCCTTCTCCCCTATGCAAATATGGCATCTGTAACGTATGCGAGAGTAAGTTATAGGTCTGAATGAAACCCCTACATCTAAACAGCCCCAAGCATTAGAAAATTCAAAACTAATACAAAATCTGGGCTAATTTTGCTGAGAGGAGGGCAAAGTTCAGAAATCTTGTTATTCAACTCCATCACTCTTTGTGCTGATATGTGATAACGGTACCAGCAGCTGCCCACAGGACTCTTACTATCCATGTTCTCAATTCAGATCAAGGCTCCATCACCGTTAGTATTGGCCATAGGTCCAGTGCCTCTTGCAGCTCTCACAGCTGACATAAATTGATGTCCCCTCACATTCCTGGTGACAGAACCAGTCCAGACACCAGTCCTCTCCAACATTCCCTCTTGCCTTCCCATTCTGAGAGAGAGGAGGAGACTTAACTCACAGGGATCTGTAGAGGATCAATGGCTATCCTATCAAACAGCTAGCTTTTGCAGCCAGCTGGACAGGACAAGAGACAATGGGCACAGACTGAAACATACGAAATTCTATCGGAATGTAAGAATACATTTTTTTACTGCCAGGGTGATCAAACATTGATGCAGGTTGACCAGTCTCCAGCCCTGGAGATACTCAAAACCTGATGGACATGGATCTGAGCAACCTTGTGAGCAATTTACTTAAAGCAACTTACTTTGAGCAGGGCAGTTGGCCTAGAAAATCTCCAGGGTTCCCTGATAAATTCCACTATCCTGTGATTCTGTAAATTTCAAAAACCTCTTTCTGATGCATGAGCAATAAAAGGGGTGCAATGTCAGCCATCTGTAGAGAGTTTCATAAACTGTAGCCAACTACTGTTTTTATTTAATCTTTCTTCTTCTCAACAGCAGCTAAGGAAAATTGTGTAGATATGAAACTAGAACAAAGGATTGAATTGCCCAGAAAATTATTATTGCAGCCAGACATAAGGTTTACCTGAAGGAGCAGAAAAGTCAAAAGGAAGAGGAGAGACTTTACTTTCTTCCACTACCCTACACTATTATCCATTTCCAACACAGACCATATTCCTGGTGTGTTGATTCTATCTCTTTTTTGACTCCATGGCCCCAAACACAGGAAGGAGATCTCAGGCAGTTGCTGGAGAAGACCACTGTTATACATTTGATCTCCCAGATTAAGCTGCCCATAATTGGTCCTCTTTGAACAACCAATGAAGTGCATTCCTTTTCTATTAATTGAACTACAGTAAGGCTGATGAGAGAAAGTCTCCCATTCCCATTAGGACTAGAGCTGCTTGATTAAAGGAAGGAATGAGAAGTTTATTTCTTAGCATCTGATTTTGCGTCCAAAATTAATTGCATTCTTTCCTCCTAACTGTAGGGGATACATTCCTAAAACTATTGGGCAAAAAACAAGATAAAAGTTAAAAATCTTCTGTCACTTCAATGTATATTATGTCACATACGCTCACCAGCATACTACCTATAAACAAAAGTATACAAGGTACCAAATTGCAGCCTAAGACATTAATGTTCACAAAGCCAGTCCACTTTCTGAATTCAAGCCTGCATCAAGATCTGAAGTAGGATTCTTTGGCCTGTGTTCTGGTAGAGTCTGAATAGATTATTTCAATTGTTCCCTCTAATCTGAAATATATCCATTTGAATGTCTTATCTCTAGCCATGGGTTAAATCAAAATTCCACAGAACTTTCTCTTTCACTTCTCCAAAACTCCAAATGCTTTGTCATTCAGACATTAACTTAAAATCCATATTCAAATTTGATTTAACAAATACAAAAAATTGCTAGCTCATGATTCAAGGTCTGGGTGGGTTGTTTTTTTTTCCCAGCTTTTACATTCTCATCTGCGTTATAACAGGTTTTGCAACACAGAGGCACTGACTCTATAGTTCTGCTTTTCTGAGGAAAACACATCTCTGGTTTTATAAGATCACAATCTGAAGCTGAGGAAATCAATTAATTTCAGTAGCTAAGAGTGAAGGTGCGAGAGGAGTTTTGCAAGCCTAATACAGAGCCTTGAACAGTTACACGGTCTACCAGAACATAAGGCCATAGCTTTAAGGGTGCTACTCAAAGGTTACAGAGTCAAATTACTAAGTAGTTAAATGCCTCCTTTTTTTGAGAGCCAAACAGTCGCAACAGCAAGAAAAAGATGAAACAGTCATAGCAAAGCAGGAATTATTTAAAGGTGTTGAGAAATTGTTAGAAGACCACGTAGACATTTGTCTCAGACGCGCTCTGCACAGTGCTTCAGTTCCCAAATGAGTTGATCTAACCCTGCACTGAGCTCCTAAAGCAAAACTAAACTTTACTAATGTACTCAGTACATCCAGCTAATGAAAAAGAGAAATAAAAAAGCTTTACCTCAGCTGTATCATTAAAACTATCCATGGATGCGGTACAGAATAAAAAAATTCTTATAAACCCACAGCTCTTAATGAGACCTGGATTTGATCAGTGGAATCCTACTTGAAAACTGACTCCAGAGATATAATACTAGTAATAGACATGTGGTTTGAAAATGCATGCTTTTGACATTAAAAGATACAATAAGCAGCTAATGCAGCAGAGATGTTTGTGCTTCTAGACTTACTCATTCAAATAACCATCAGCATTTGTTTCTTTCTATGCAGAATGATATGGGAGGCCAGCGAATGCTTGTGAATAAATGGAGCACTTTCCTCAAAACCAGACTAGTTTGCTCTGTGCCCGGGAGAAATGGAATTGATACACATTTTGACGAATTAGGTAAACATCCTAGACTGCAATAAACTTAAAACCATCATACAAAGCATATACTTTCATGATAACACATCTTAATGTCAAATATTGTACTTGTATTAAGAGGGAATTGTTGTTAGTGTTTTCTTTGCAACGTATATGAAGGTCTGCATGTATGGACCTGACTATTGTCAATTATGCCTTTACTTATTGCATTGCTTCTAAAGATTGATTTTAAAATCTGCATAAAATTAAATAGCGCATATAAGTAAAGTAGGATTACAGTTTTAACAAGCAATGAAGTTTCTCTTTTGCGCTGAGAAAAGTAGTTTGCTACAATAACATTGCATTTAAATTTTACAGAGGATGTGTTTTTGCTGCAAACTCGTGATAACAAAAATCCAGTGATATTTGGCCTCTTCAATACTACAAGGTAAACAACTAGAAGAAATAATAGCAGCAACAGAGGAATGTTTGAACATCCTATTGAAGAGATAGAAGCTGCATGATAAATATCCCTTAGCAAATATATAGTAAACAGTTTAATCCCTGTTCTATTCACCATGGGCTTCCTTGTTAATGTAAAAACTGCTCTGTGACACTTGGGGGCTTGAAGTCTTATTCAGTTATCCAGTTTATCTGGATCATAAATTAATTAAATGTTTCTGTGCTTGAAAATTTCCTAGTGCCCAAGTATATGCACTCCTGCATGCTTCCTACAAGAGCAGCCTTCTATCAGAGCCACTTGTCTTCTTTTACAAGCTCTGCTGTAATCCAAGTTTAAGTAGATAGGGGCTTAAATTTCCTAACTTCTTAGTGAAGCCTAAACCACCAGCTATGATATTGCTGGTGCCTCCTTTTCCACAACAGCTCAGTTCAAGTGCACGCACACAGTACCTGTTTCTTGGAGATCCAATTGTTTGTTCAGGATGTAACTGGTAGAGAAGAGCAACTGTGCTTTTTCCACTATTTCACTCTCCTGAATTATTGTTTTGGAATAAAGCAAGGCAGATCTCGTCCTCTAGGATGCACCAAGCATTTCCTACTGGCTCCCTAAGCCAGTAGAGAGAGGTGCGCACCTAATTAAAATTATCTGAAACTCCTTCTGGAGTCTTCAGAGGTAATTTCTTTGTAGAGAGCACTGATGCTTGTTTAAAAAATAATGAATTACTTGTCTGGAACTAAGTACATAATATTTAAAAGATTGATCTACATAGAGTGATCTTGATGATCTAATAGCACCAATCAACATTCCCATTCCATATAAAAAGACTCCAGGTCAGTCAGCACTGGATGATTCCCATCTTTCCAAAGTAACAACATCAGAAAAAATCTTAGAGAAGTGGCTAACTGGGTCACTAATGGTTAATAGGTCACTAATCATGACCTGAGTTGAACTCATTTCACTTCCTCTGTGTTTATAAACAAGTAATTTAGAGCCTGTGTTCATCATTTTTCTGATGATTTGGGATAACAACATGGAGCTTCCTCAGATAAATATTATAAATATAAACATATTAAAGACTTTGTAAAGAACATCAGACATAGTAGTTGTAAGACAAGCATATAGGAAGCAATAAGTAATTTTTTCTCCCTGAATACTGTTGAAATGTGACTTATTTTTAATTACACAATAATACCAGTATTATATGTACAGAATGTGACATTTTGCTTTAATAATGTCTTTGAATTTTACTTCATAGCAATATATTTAGAGGATATGCTGTATGTGTTTACCACATGGCAAGTGTCCGAGCAGCTTTCAATGGACCATATGCTCATAAAGAAGGACCTGAGTACCACTGGGCTCTATACGAAGGAAAAGTACCTTATCCTAGGCCTGGTTCAGTAAGTATAATGTATTTTTTTACTGTGTATTTTTGTATTTTTGTATTTTTGTATTTACTGTGTAAATGAATTCAGAAACAAAAAGCAGACTGCTGCTAATGTACAAATCTTCCTGACTTTGCAATCCAGGATATTTTTATATTTTTATATATATATTATATATATTTATATTTATATTTTATATTCACCTCTTCTCACAGGACAGGGGCTCGCTCTCTTAAAGGTGGAATAAACAGTTGCTGGAGTGTTACCTGCAGTGTTGTTTTCCCTTTGCTAACTACATCAACATCCTCTTTTATACTAAAAGCACTCATTTGAGAAAGAAAGATTGCATATTAGCTTATCAAGTCCATGCCAGTACATCCTTTCTCCCTGCAGTATGATTTCAAACCCATGTCCTCTCTCATTTTAAATTAATGTTTTCCTTTACTTCTCTTGGAATTAGACCTATAAGTCAAAATGCTGAAATATATGCCCCAAAAAAGAGATTAGCTGGGATTTAAGCACTATGAATATAATTTGATCATCTTGGTCAATAAGCTACGGCTGTAGCAGTGCTGACATCAGTTGCAAATGGCTTTTTGTTTGTTTGATGTGGATCAAAGTCATTGATGTTGAGTCAGTACAGGAAAACAGATGAGTAAATTACCAAATTTTTAGCAGAACGGTCTAATTCAAATGAATTATTAGTTTCCTGTTTGACATTTTGTATAGCAAATGTACAGTTTTTACGGTTTTACCAAATAATAAGATAGTACCGTGCATGAATTGTGGAATACTGCATATTTTGCAAAGATGATATGGTCCAAATTCTGTGTTATTCTTTTTTCTTTTTTCTTTTTTTTTTTTTTTTTCAGGCAGTAGAACATTTCACATATGTTATTCGGACTGGCGTTAAACAGGCAGGAATTCAGTAATAATGACTACAATCATTGCATTAGTAACACCTAGCACTGAAGATTAAATGTTTTGGGGTTTTTTCTGGCAAGAAGGAGAGAACACTCAGCCACACTTCAGCAGAGTTGACAGTGATTTACAGAAAGGTTGCCCTAAGTTCCACTCACTAAGGTTGCTTCTCTCCCTTGGCTCTGAATGGCCACATTTGGGACAGGCTGGACTGTAGTCTCCCCAACAGGCAAGGCATAGGAGCCAAATCAGATGTAAACGAAGAGAGCAAGTATTGTTTCCCAATGTCATGGAACACGTTCCTGAGGAACCAGGTCTTTCCTGTTTGCAGATCCATTTAATCATGTTTATTGTGATTAAATCTATATGTTGCAGAGCGCGTCAGAAGCTGGAGTGGCTGGCTGTGCCAGCTAACAGGGGATCAATTGATTCATTTTTGGCTGCTTGTTTAGGGCACAGTTTAGAGATCTTTTCAATGCTTTTCCAGTAGCATGAAAAGAAAGCATGTTTTGGGATGTAGCCCACAGTGTTAGGTTTCACACTCCAAAGAAGAAGTCAGCATATTGGTAAGCTGAATCCCACTACTTTTCCCATTACAAGAGTGACACTGACAAGATGCCAAAAATAACCTACTATTAGGCATCTCTGAGAGTCAGCACTCTTTGATCTTAGCTATTGAATGGGTAAAGATGGAGTCTATAAAGAATGAGAGTACAGTTTAAAGCTAAATAAAAAGAACGCCACCAGTTCTGACAGAGTCCGCAATGTGTTGTTCTCTGAAGTTTGCTTGAAGCTCTGCTTCTGCCATAATCTCTGCTCCTGCCATAATCTCTGCTCCTGTTTTGTGATTTATTTAGTTCATTTAGACTGTGATGCTTCTGGGAATGACATCAGTTACCTCAAAAGTAGTGTTGATAAACTTCAGAGACAGCTGCATCTACTGTTTCCTTTCTAGACTACTTGATTTTCCTTAATTAAAAATGAAAAGCCTGTGAAGGATTATTTTTATTAAATCTCTCCAGGACTAGAACTTTGCAAACGGAACCTGGCAATGCCTATTCTCTTCATAAACTGTGCAGTGCACGGAAAGCAGAGGCTTAGCCTGTCTTCATACTCCAGCTCTGTTTCTTTATTGCAACCAGCCACTGAAATCCCATCACTGGGCTGATTAGACAATTACTGTAAAGTCAACACTGAACAAATACTTTCTTGTAGCTAAGCCCAAAAAGTGGAAACAAACGTTGCCCCAGTTGACAAGTGCAAGAGTTTGTTATTGTAAATTACAATTGACCACAAGTTTAAAATTGCAGTAAACATAAAGAATATTTTATTTCATTTTATTGATTGAAAAATCCAATTTAAATGGGGAAAGGCTGCTACTGTGGCTTTGCTTGAAATGCTTCTTAAAACCACACTATCTTATGAATATGTGGAGAAAGTAAACAGTTACTGAGATATTTCCAACTTGATCATAAATGGTTTCAATTAGACATCGTGAAGCAAATTGGAAATGTAGAATCTATGTTCAGTTAGAGAACACTATATCCTTTGCAAAGCATCCTAGAATTAACTTCTCAGTTTAACGCATTAAATTATCCCAAATTGCACATTTGACCAAAGGAGCAAGCCTCTTCTAATCAATCATTGACATAAAGTGTATTTGCTTTGCAAAACAGTAGATTGATCAATGCAAACATTGGTATTTCAAGCTAAACTGTGATATATAATACTGTCATTGTGAGTTACGAATTAGAATCAAAGGCAATACTGTTAGAATGCCTGAGATCAAGAATTATTGCTGGCATCATTTTTGGATGAGGCTTTGAGTAACCTGATATAGTGGAAATTGTCCCTGCCTATGGCAGGGGGGTTGGAACTAGGTGATCTTTAAGGTCCTTTCCAAATCTAATCATTCTATGATTCTATGATTTTAAGTATGCTTAGTTTCTTATGGTAACACATTTTCCAATCAGAACTAATTAGACTAGAGATTGGTTTCAAGCATTAGTATACTACTGACTGTACATAGCTGTCCCTCTACTGGGATAGGAAACCCTTTCTTCTAACTTCTAATGATCAATGGCCATTCTGATCACATCTTCAATATGAATTTGGGGAAGACATAAGCACTATGCTTTTTGTAAAAATCTAAGTGTCACTATTTATTCTGTTTTTAGTATGCCAGAGAGGAAGGAGCCCTCCCTCTTTCTAAACATGACAGTGCCAAGGTCCTGTTCGGCTTTCCCTTTCTTGGCTTCTCATGATTAATAATCCACACATACACAACGCATAGACTTCACTGTCTCAATTGCTACTGTGGTCTTCTGTGCCTGTTTTTATGCCAGGTTTTCTGTAGACTTGTCATTACCCCTGAAAGCAAGACTTGTCTCTGGCAATGTATTTGGCAAGCCTTCAGGATAATCTATGCTTTCTGGTTTTGCAGTGTGCCAGCAAGGTGAATGGCGGTCTGTACACCACTACCAAAGACTACCCTGATGAAGCTGTCCATTTTGCCAGGAGTCATCCACTGATGTATCAGCCCATCAAGCCTGTTCATAAGAGACCAATACTAGTTAAAACAGATGGAAAGTACAATCTTAAACAAATAGCAGTGGACAGAGTGGAAGCCGAAGATGGGCAATATGATGTCTTGTTCATTGGCACAGGTAAATTATGAAAAATAAATTGGTCTTTTTTTCCTTCAGGATGAATGAAATTGTGTATAGACCAAAAAAAAAAAAAAAAAATCAATACCACTTTCCTCATTAAGAATCATTCTTCAACTTCAGTTGCCAGTTTTCAACTTAAAGAAGAATTTAGTCATTCTAGAGATGTGTTTCACTGTGCTGATAACATTATGTAGAAAAATAATGTTAGGAAAAGACTAGGATGAGAAGCTTAAGTATAGGATTCAGTTTTTTTGTTTGATTGTTTGTTTGTTTGTTTGTTTTTCCAAATGAACCTTAAATTGAATTCCTATATGACTGGCTTTATTTTTAGAGCTTCAGAACACAATCATGTATATAAGCGCAGTTTTGAGCTGAGACCTAGACTCTGAAAGAAACAGAGGTGATTTTCATAAATATAAGTTCAAGTTACTGACTTTATTAAAAAGTTTGTTTTCCCTAATTCTGGAGACCACAAGTCTAGCTGACAGTTAAAAAGAAACTGTCAGCTTCCAGACTTGAGTTGCAACACAGCTGAAGGAGGGAAGGAAGTAGGAAATACCCATGTTTCTTAAAAAGAAAGTGTTAGACATTTTCTGCTAAGTTTTCTTGTCTTTCTTTTGTGCTTGTTGAGAAAGGATTTTTTTAAACCTCTACCAAAAAATATGAACAAGTTAAAATATATCATAGACCAGACCTAACTCTAAGCAGCCAGAGAAAAAACACACATCCTAATGGTATTTGAAAAACAAGAAAACATAAGAAAATAAGAGGAAAGTTTGGAACAAGCCAAGACTTTAGTCACATCTAATCTGCTTGGAAAAACTCCAAGGATTCATGCATTCACATTTTATCAATTTAACAACAGGAGTGGTATCACAAATCATTTTCACCATTTGTCTAGGAAAACAGTTGCAGTGAATTATTTTTTACTAATGAAATTCCTCTGATAAGCACATTTCAGTGTTGAGAACATTCAAAAGAAACATGCTTGTAGAATAGCAAAAGGTTTATTTATATTAATGCTATTTTCTAAGCTTTTAAATTACCTCAGTATGGTCTCAGTATTGTATTTTGTGTGGTCCATAAAACATTGTGCCACTTGTCCCTTATTTCTCTACAACAGATTTTATAACACTGACTAGAATTTTCATATTTGCCATTTGCATTTGCGATCAAGGCATTGTATCAAATACTCTTGTACATGAGTCCTCCATTCAACAAAGTGGAATCCAAAGGCACTTGAGTGTGTGCTTTAGAGCTGTGCTGGACTGGCACCCAACAGCTGCTTAGTCTTCTCCACATGTCTAATCTCAGGTGACAAGAAATTCCAGCATAGGAATTTAGGCTTTAGAAATTCTAAAATGAACCTTGCAATCTCTGTTCTGGCAAAGTTCCCATCAAAAAGCTCACTGATTCTCTTGGCAATATGATGTTAGGAAGGGTTAATCTTTTTTTATGTGAGTCCAACACCTGCTGTGTAACATAAGAAGGTAGGGTCTCACAGCCAAGCAGAAGTTTTCTTAGAGTAGCAGTGCAGGTTAGAAAGGTTCATCAAAGGCAAAGTCTCAACGTCAGGGCTAACTTTTACGTGTCTGTCAGCAGGATTCGAAGGGGGACTGACTTATGAAAATCAGAGCTCAGAATGCAATTTCTTTTTACAGTTCCATCACAAAATGGATGCCTTTGATTACAGATTCTCTTTAAGAAGTGGTGTATGACCCCAGTTTAGTGGTTCCTCTTTATGTTTGCCCCTTTGATCTTTTTGCTGAACATTTTTCCCAGTGCTTGTCTGCTTAATATTTCCCCTGTAAATCAAAGGTGACTGAAAGTAACAGAAGAAAGGAAGTTATATTTGTCATCGTTGACGACAGATTTTCAGATTAAGGAAAACAAGACTATTTTAACAAGAGTCAGCAAGACAAAGCTAAAGTGCTGGAAGACCAGATGCTATTCATGTGTTTTAATTTCCTGCAAGAGTTGTACTGACAGAGAGGATGAAAGACTGAGACTCTAATGTGCCTTAGACTTTTTGAATGTGCAGCCTTTTTTTTTGGTTCATCTTCCTTGGATTAACACCTTCATCTAAACAGAAGTTCAGTGTTTCCCTGAAAGGGGATGAGAACCTTGGACAATGAATCCCTTAAGGTGTTTGTACTCTTGCCTGGAGGAACAGAGCTGCTGCCAGCAATTAAGGATAGGTAGTAATTTCCTAACCAGTGTAAACATTCTGATCCTATCATTTAAACCACTTTACACTCTCTTGCCTTTATGGAGTAAGCTCCTGTCCACTCTCATTTCTTTTTCTGAAATTTGGTCACCCTCTTTGATCCTTTTGCAGATCACGGAAGGGGTTATGACCCAGAGTTTGAAAAATGCTAGTCAATTGATCATATAGCTCAGGGGTGTCTCAATTGACTCTTATTTGCCAGGGACAAATTGTCATATGTGTTTATTTTCTAAGAGTAAGACCCCCTCACCAATAAAAACAATGTTCAACTACCTGTACAGATTTATAGATTTCTATCCAGTATCAGTTTGAAGAAGTCATTTAATGTATTTGAAGGCCATATAAAAGTTTCCACCAATTATAACCTTTAGTTCTGTTTTTGTTTTTTTGTTTTTTGTTTTTTTGTTGTTGTTGTTTTTTGGGGTTTTTTTGTTGTTTAAATTTATTTCCAGATAACGGAATTGTGCTGAAAGTCATTACAATTTACAATCAAGAGACAGAATCAATGGAAGAAGTGATTCTTGAAGAGTTGCAAGTATTCAAGGTGAACTGTGCTGTATATGAAGCATATATGTAACTGTCTGAAATTTTCTGTAGAATAAAAATGTAAAAAAAAATCTATCTGAAGACACTGAAATATAGAATAGCCATGTGCAAGAAATTTTCTAATGATCTAGTTATTTTAGGACAGGAAATCTTAATTTTCGATTAAAGTTTCCTGAGATGATTGTAGCCCAAGTACTGAAACATATGGCAGCAAACCAGGACTATTGCCTCTCTGTTTACATGCTTGGAGATTTTAGTGTGACCATTAATCAAGAACTTACTGCATTTTATTTAATTTTCCCCTCATATCCAATTAAGTGCTTCAAAAATTATAAATGCATGCACAAAAATGTGCCTACTAAAATCTTGGAAGCTTAAATGAGGTCCAGATAGAAAAAGCCCAATCCTCAGAAAGAATGAATCAATTAATCTGTCTTAACAGTGGGAAAACCTGAATCCTAGTGAGGCAAAACTCCATTCTGTTTAAGAATAACCCATGACTAAAGCTCAGTATTTGGCATGTGGCAAAGCTAATATAATGAAATTCTCTTAGTGAGTATTCCCATCATGCCATGTCAGCCACATTGAGTAGGTGGGTAACCTACTTGCAACCACAGGGAAAATCTGAGGTCCAAAAGTAGATATTTAAATCTGGTACCTGCATTTCATATTGACTTATTGCCTGGGGGGAAAATCACAGAAATTGCACCTCTTGATAAAGTTAGTTTTCAATAGACCTATTAGGAGGTATGTCTTGCCATTGCTCCAGGAAATCTGAGCAGAGGACAGAGAGGAAAATGGTAAGAGAAGGAATTCCTGCTATTTTTATCTTATCTTTAATGAATGTTTTGTTATAAAGAACACTCCACTTATCACTCTCAAGTAGGACAAAAGGGGTTCAGTGGTGGTGGAAAGAGGTAATGTCATGTTTGACAGGGAAATTCTAGTGTTCCTGTGGCTCCGATAATCCTGAATTAAGTGTTGGCTGGTTGTTTTTAAATAAACTCTTTTAAAGCAATAGTTCTGAAACTCACAATTTCTTCACATCTTTCTGTAACATAAGAACTAAAAGAAAGTCAAAGTTTCTAATGAAACTGAATATAATAAGTAAATACCATCACTATTTTACCTAATTTATTGTCATAGTAAAAATATATTCTTTTTCCTAAGCAATGAAATATTTTGTATTTCCTAGGTGCCTGTTCCTATTATTTCTATGGAAATCTCTTCAAAAAGGGTAAGTATTTGAGAAGTTTGAAAGGTGAAGATTGTGTCTCAAATGTAATTAAGCTGTAAACTGTATAGAGATAGATGGAGAGATGTACGTTATCTATAATGTGATCTGGTTTTATACATGTAATCCTTTTGTAATATAAACTTATGTTTACATGCTCAGTTCCTTTATGAAGTATTCATGTTTTTCAATTCTAATGTTAACTCTCCTTAGTTCCCACTATCATTCCTATCAAAGCAAGTAAAACCCAATCTGCTTCATGAGTTACTGCCATAGTAATCGGAGTAGGGATTATCTTGGTGGATGTGGCAACTCACAGAAAAGTTCCCTGCTGATAAATGCAGACAGGTGGCAGCCCCATAGGGATACCAGTGTAGAACACCTTGTTGGCTCCCCCATGTATTCAGTTGCCCATGAAAGGCAGGGCAATTTGGGTCTGACTCACTTTAGAGTTTCTGCTAGTTTCTGCTAACATAAACACCCAATTTATTACTATTGTAGGTAGATCCTCATCTGTACCATATCATAGATATCCGTACCATATCACCACATCATCTCAGGATGGAGCCTTTATAAACATACCAGGACAGTTACATCTTAATAGATCTTAGACATCCAACACAATATGAGTGCAAGTAAACATAGTGAAACACAAGTAACAAAGACGGAAAAGTGGACTAATATGAGGTGTGAGTGTGCCCCAAAAGATCATTTTAGTCTTGGTGTCATTCAAGTTGCATTCTTTCTGTAGGTAATGTAGAAAGACAGACTCCTCTGATGGTGATTTAGAGGATTATCTTAGGTGTAAGTAAAGTATTCTGAATTATTTCCTGGATCAATCTATTGTTTTTTTTCTCATCGAGTGTGAACGCAGTTCCGGCTTGTCTAATACTGCACTTAAGTGATTATTTGGAGAAAGACTTTGGTGTCATTTCAGGTATTTGCCTTAACTTTAGCTCTCAGTGAAACGTCATGGTTAAAAGGTTGTGTTGGAAAAGTAAAAAGGAGATACTGCATAAAAAGTGAAGTAGTCTTCCTCCTTTACATCCAGCTCCCAAGAGGGCTGCTAACTCTAATAATTCAAGAAATATCTGGAAAATCTGGAAAGTATTGTAAAAAAGCTGCCAGAGCAATCCAGTGGTTGGAGAACAAACCTTCTTGTGAGAAGTGAAAGTAGTTTAACTTTTTCAAGATATCAAAGAAAAGACTTACAGAAAACAGGATAGACAGATATAAAATTTTACCCAACAGAGTGACTATTTAATGTATGTGTATAGGGATTCTTAACGATGATGGAAAAGCAATATCAAGAGTAAATAACCAAGTTCAGCTTTTTGAATGTAGATAAACTCAATCTTGAGATAGGACGCAGTTTTCTGGTACTAAGGAAAATTAAATGTTGGAATACATGTAATGGACTGGGTTGGCACCAAATAATTTTGTCTTTAAAATGAAATCTGTAAGCAGAATTATAACTTAATTGAGCTTATGTAAAAAAAAGTTATGTAGCTTCTCTACTCTAGCATTTTGGTTGGTCTCTTTTGACCTTAGATTTTGTGAGCCTGTGGACATCTCCTTGCTAGGTTTGTCTCAATATCCTTATAACACTAACCAGTCTTCACTAAGTCAGTGGTACAATAAAATATCCTGTTTCAGGGCTAAGCTAGTTATCTGCAAAGGCTGGGAAGGAATGTTTTTCTTTGATGTTCAGTTGGCGAGATATCAGATGTTTTTTGCCCTTCTGTGATGAACCAAGACTTAGAGTAGTCTTTACCCCTGCTAAAAGATGAAAGAGAAAAGTCTCATCTTGTATGTCTCATTGAAAGTGTTGTTCATGTCTTCTGGGACAATCACACGGCAGCCTTTACAGACAAGAAATAATTCCTCTCAAACAAGGATCCTAGGTGTCTTCTTCATTCCAGTTGGCAGATTGAGTCCATGCTATCATATGCTTTATCTCAGCTGAAAAAGTCTTCAAGAATTGCTGTTACCAGTCTCTCCTAGTCTTTTCTCCTTGCATTTCTAAGAGTAAATTTTTTGTGACCTAAACAGAAGGTGTAATTAGGAACAAAAATGAACGATCTGGGTTAATTTTGTGTTTTGTGATAGGCAAGCCAGAATAAATGAGCTGCATGTATTTTCCAGCTTTAAGAATTTTAAAATACCAGATTTTGAAAGCTTGGTCTAAAAGTGGGAGTTATGGACTAAGTTTGGCCATTAGGATAAGCACAGTTTAAATATTCATTAGGAATCCTTTTTCTGACTGGTAAAACCATGGTGAACCATGCATAAGCAGTTCCTATTGCAGTGCACACTGCATATTTCTGTGTTCACTCCATTTACATTTATCTGCAACGAGATTTCTTATCAAATCACTGTAAATTCAAGCTATTCTCTTCTGAATTTATTATGCCAGCAAGTCATGAATCAGACCGATTGTCTTTCACTTGATTTGAAAAGGATATTTCTGTGAACTCAGAAGATTCAAACAGTCTTAGCACTAATGCTGAAAAAAACCCCAAATCCTACAAATAAATATGAAAGAAGTACATTGTGACCAATTAATTTGTAAGGAAATACTGCACAGCACCAGGAAAAAAGAAATCTCTCTTGTGCACTGAGGGATTACACAAATCACAGTACATGTGCATGTACACATAGTGCATGAGTATATGGGACCATATTGTAAGTATCCACACCAGGAGTTAAATTTACTTTATAACTCCCATTTTAAGATTGAGATTGCTTAAAACTTTTGCAAATTTGAACTTGTGTTTAAAGTCTTTCATGTCAAATTTTTTGGGTTTGTTTTGCAGACCTGTTAAGTGACAGAGAAGTATAAAAAGGGAGGCATTGAAAGTATCTTGAGGAAGAAAAAGAAATTAAATCCCTGCCTATTCAAACACAAAGCTTACAAAGCTGAAACTTCAGAAGTGAGGAAATGCCAAAATAAACTTGTTCATTTTACATTCTTTCTGCTCCTCTGTCCTCATGCTGGAGAGTTAGTCTGTAATCAGATATTTTGCTATAGAGTAACTCTGCCTCCCTCAGGGCACAGGCTGGATGCACAACTGGCAAGCAATAATAAAGCTAATGTTTTTTAATAACCCCATCGGTAACAGAAGTTTTAGTGGAAGTCCTAGGAATTTAATCATACGTGGTGTATTTTTTCCAGCAACAGCTCTACGTTGGATCTGAGTCGGTTATAGCTCAAGTGAAGTTCCACCAGTGTGACATGTACGGCACGGCCTGCGCTGATTGCTGCCTCGCCCGGGATCCGTACTGCGCTTGGGATGGGATCTCCTGCTCCCGATACTATCCCACAGGAATGCAGGCAAAGAGGTGAGAACTGCTGCTTTCCGTGATTTTCTTTTTTGCAAAATACCCATGTAAAGAGTACCTACCACAACACAAGGTATTTCGTATCTCCCCCTCATAAAAATAAGTGAGCACTGAGAAGATATGTTAGCTGCTAATTTATTAGCACAACCTTAGGGGATTGCATAGTAGCCAAATTAACAGGCTGGCATAAACCAGTGTAGTACCAGGAATACTTTTGTGAATGAAGCAAATTCACTTAGTAAATATTTGCAGTAAGTTTTAAACAAACCTCAGTTTCCTTATACATTTCCTGGTGCACAGAGGATTCGTTACAACTTCAGAGACCTATTTTGGTAGAATTATACAGCAAATATATCCCACTGCAATAAAATATACAACAGAATTTCCAAAAAAAGCAAAGAAGAATCTTTGTTAATAGTTAAATACATTCATTAACCAAAAAGAAAACAGACTATCTGCAAAAGCTAAGGTTAGGCTTAGGGTTTCCTCAGTGAATTTATCAAGAAAAGTTACTCTAGAGGCCAGTTCAAAGCACATTCAGGTGCTTTAATTCTTCCCTTGGGTAGAATTCTCCTCTATGTCACCATTCCCTTATTCATGGCTCTTGGCCTTCACTCTTTTGTGCAGTAATTTCCCATATACCTGTCATCATCCCTTCACTCAAACCCAAATTCTCCAATTCAGCTACACATATACTTGATCAAGCATCTAGAACGTGCATATCCAGACTTTTAATCCAGACTTTTTTGCAAGACTTTGTCAGCTTTGCCACTAGAGAGAGTGATTTCTAGCCTTAGCAGCAAAACTTTGGTAATGTATAATTCAAATCCTTTCTGGCTTTTTTTTTTTTACAGTTACTGTTTCTGCAAAGATATGTTTATACATATTAGACATATATGGACTGCAAAGATTAGAATAAATTGAGTAACTTCTGGAGACAGTTTTGAAAAACAGTGGAGATGATTGAGTCAAAACCAAGTCCTAATATCCCAAATAGATTATTATTTCTTAAGGAAAAAAACAGGAAACTGGGGGTTTCTATTTATTTTTTTTTTGTCCTGCACACCTTATCTTTCCATGAACCCGGATGCACTCAAACCAAATGTGCTGTTGACTATAGCCAGGCACAACAGACATTTCTCTGGATTTGTCTGAAAGATAATAAACACAGTCATGTTACATTGGGTAACATGACTTTTTGGGTAAGGCACATAAAGAAATAAAAATGAGAAATACAACTAATGACTCAGTGTAATTAAGAATCTCTTGGATTTATTATACTAAGACATAGGTAAATCCAAGAAGGAAATCTACACCACTTTTACAAGCAGGATCATATGAGACTTCTGCTCTTGCAGACCTAAGAGAAGAAGTGGGCTCTGGCTGTCTGGTCAATGTGAGAAGATTCTGGCTAAAATTTTCAGGCCCCAGATTAAGAGAGATGAGCAGCTATATAGTGGGCCACAGAGATTAATTTCCTGCAGTAGGAAGAAGAAATTGGATTATCATAATTATAAAGCACTTGGGTTACTCAACTAATGATGTAAAAGTCATTTGGGGAGAGGTCATTGGGGGTTTTTAAAAATTTCCTACCAACCTCCTAGGACTGTATTAGCATTTACGTTGTTCTGCAGGCTACTTATTGTCTAAGGAAAGATAAGAGAAACTCACTCAGTCCTGAACTCTGTCGTACATTTTTAGCATATTTCTCACCTAAGACAATTTCCAGAGCAGGAGCCCTTAAGTCCCCTGATACACATATTTATCCAGGGTTGAGTGATATGGGCAGCACCCCAGGCACCTTCCTATGCCTTACCTCCTCAACATTCAGCAGGTCAGTCTCTAAAAGAAGAAAATACTGTTGTTATCATCCTCCTTCTCTTAAGATAAGCGCTGCAGCAGTGGAGAAGGGATTTGCACTCAATTGAATGTTCTTGAAGTCTGCAAAACTTGTTTTACATGTAAGAGTGTGGGGAACAGCCAGGAATAGCTAATAACGTTGAGAAGGACAGATGGCATTTGCTTTGTTCACTTTAGCTCATAGCTGGCTCTCAGAGCATTTTAAAGTGGTGAGCTTACACTAGCTGTGTGGTACACACAGAGACAGGGAAAGCTACTCAGGACATGTTATGGAAATTGTTTTAAGTTCCCTCCTGCGGGGTACCAGGCGGAGATCACTGCTGGAAAAGGCAAATCTCAATAGACAACATGGAGTTTTCTGATACTAAGCAACCCCAAGCAGGCAATAATCCTACTGTGGCTGCCCTGGGCTCCAGATACGATTCATGCTACGCCCCAGAGCATATACATATGGATTTGGCTTTGTCTCAGGGCTCCAGATTTCTGCTTAAAGCTGTGCTGGGTAGCACAAGCAATGGGAGCACAAGGGGCATTGGAGAGCACTTGTTCTGCCTGTTCCTGGCAGCCCTCTCTTCATCAGGGGTTATAGAGCTGTGCCTTACAATACAGCACACCTGAGTTGGCTTTAATACCACCTCCATGTGTTCAAACGTGTCCCTCATACAGTACCTTTAGGTGGGCTTTTGACTGGTAAGAGCAGTGCAGTAAGAGCACTGCTAAGAGCTCTCTTTCTAATTCCAGTCCTGCTGGTGAAGTGTTGAAGGAAGCAGGAATGTACAATGTTTCCTCCCCACTGATTCAAAAGCTCTCTGCTTTAGATCCTAATGCCTCCAAGGTATGACAAGTGTTTAGAGAAACATGAAATAGAAAAACTGCAAGTTAAGGTATGTACAGGGTACAGAGAGAACTTCAGCATAAATACAAAACAACCTCTGCTTGACAGCTGGTACTAATTTGTTGAATTGTGAAAGCCTATATTACAATTCCTTGTAAATGCATAGCTCGGATGATAAATAGATATAGGATTTAATTAAGGTCAGATGAAACCTGAGCTCAAAATCCCATATTTTCATGCTGGCAGAACGGCACGCTATGATGTTGTGGTAGTTACAGGTGTACAGCTCCTGCATACTGCAAATACTTAAGATGACAGAAGGAAATTATATTGCATTCAACTTCTATGAAGTGTGCTTAAGGAAGCAGAAAGGTCCAGGACTTAAAAAAATGCTTTAGTTCACTATTAACTCTGCAATCTGATTTAGGCAGGTTCAACTTTTATCTAAACAAGCACTATATTCTACAAGTGAGATACTTTGCTGTGCCAGCTCGCCGTCCAGGCTGAAAAAGGGCTGAAGTAATTCAAAAATGTCTTTCAGCTTGGGTAGATCTGTTAACCTGTGATTCTTCAGCTAATTTTAAGAAGCTGACAGTTGCACTCCTGCCTGCTCTTTCTCTCTGGCCTCTTTCTCCACAATCCACTCCACCAGCAGACACACAAACACATGCTTGTCTCTCATGGTTAGCAAGGGAGCTCTGAACAGATGGGTTTTTTCCCAAATCTATGTTGTTTTTCCCTGAAACCTCCTGGCCTTCCTTGTTGCCTGCCTGCGATGGGGTGCCCAGGCTGGAGTGGGGCAGTGGATCTGCAGTGACTTCAGTCTCTCGCTAGGGGGCGCCACAGACCGCTGGGGCAGGACGGGGGGCGGGGTTAAGGGGCTGCCTTCTTGCAGCTCAGTCCCTGTGCCAACCCAAATGTCAATCTGTTGTAACGTGTTTGGGCAAAACCAAGCTCAATCAACTGATTTCTTTCTGCAAACGACAACGGTGCCTTCTCTCCCTGAGACTTTTCGGCTTTGCCTCATATATCCCTGAGAAATAATAAAGAAACATGAGGATGATGGTGATGAGGATGATGATGACAACTATTGCCTTCTTGCATATCATTTTTATTAAGTTCCTGGAAGCACAGAGTTAGATTGAAATCTAAATTTATGAAGTTATAGATTGCAAAAGACACTTCCATATATTCAGTACATTTGCTAGTCACTGAAAATTGTTCCTTATCCTAGTTTACCTCAGGAATTGTCTGGTACTCTATTATTCATGGAATACTGAATGAAATGATTACTAAGAAAAAATAATAAATACCAGGCTTATGTCAGTATTTGCAAAATAAGTTTATCCCCCAGCATCTCCCTCTCTTTCAGAGCCTCTCCCCATTTTTTTTCTTCTTCAAAAAAACAGTAGCAAGTGAAGGAAAATGTATCTTCCCCAGTGTTTACACTCACAACAGCAAAATTCCATCAAAAAAACATTACTTTTTCTTGAATGCTTTTAACAACTGGAGAATATGCTGTCTTACAGGACTTGGATTTTTTTAGTTTCACAATGATCTTCAGGAACCGCAGAGCAAATAGCACATGCCTGCTAACTGTCCTGTTCCTGCTAGATAGGGCTGCTGGGCCTGGCAGCAGTGGCATTTTCTTGTCTTTTTCAAGGCTAATGTCTGTACTACTTATGTATATTTGTGCAAGAGAATTGTCTCTTCTTTGTGTATACAGATGTGCAAAGCTGGTGGAAGCATTATTCAGCACTGACACTTTGCAGAGTTATCAGTAAGGAGGGCTGCAGCATCTATACATCACAATGAGAACTCCCTGGACATGATGAAACCCTGTCGCTATCTCAGAATCTCAGCTTCCATTTAATAATGTTCATGGATTTTCAGTTCTTCTGCTTAAAAGGCCCGATGCATTCACCACTGAATTTGCAGATTCCCCTGAAACAATGGCAAAATATTGGCTCTGCTACTCTGAATATCAGTAAAGGTTAAAGCTGTCCTATTGATCCACTTGCACACCTGGACCAGAATTCCATATGGGTGACAGAAGTTAGAAAACAATCACTATCTACTTCCAGTTTAGAAATGCAATGAGTAACATCCATGGGCAAGACCTTTAACTAGTATAAATCTATATAGTGTCAATAAATTAAATTTGTTTCAAATAAAATTCTGCCATGTGTGTTCACGTAGTGCTGGAGAAAAGCATTATTTTAGTAAATGCAAAGAACAACAAAACTGCTTGGCTTTGTGTGTTTCTGCACACACCTGCTGTGTAAGATTTGCCACGTTGCATATTTCTGTTAATCTGTTATGTATGACAGTGGTAACACTGTGTAGAATGTCTTTATGCAAATCATATGAAAGGTATCCTTAGTATAACTACATTTCAGGTTGTTGGAAATACTACATCAGGCAAGATATGGCATTCCAATAGGGTTTTTTTTGTTTTGCTAGTAAGCAATCTGAATTTTATTTATCAGGATACTCAGAGCAAAATATTGCCATATAAAAGCACAGTTCTTCTGGGAATGCACCTTACAATTATGGTTTTCATTGTTTTTCTGTTAATATATATAAAAACCCCAAAGCCCAAAACTCACAACAATTTTTTGCTCAAAACCAATTGCATTATTTCCAGGTCACAACCCCAGGTTCTGACCACAGCTCTGCCACTAGCTCAGTTTCTAGGCATGGGCTAGTAATGAATGTGTCTGTTTCTCTACTGAGAAAAAATGAACTTAACAACTGTCTGCTACACAGATGTAATAAAACAAAGTATTTACTCTGAGCTTTGAGATTTTGAAGTGAAAAAAATAACATGAGAGCAAAGGATAAAAGAACTACCATTCACATACATGGCAAACTGTTCTAAACTAAGAAAGGAGAATTTCCTTGGCTTCCAGAGAGAGAGAAAACACAAAGAAAGGCTAAAGGTCCCTTTGACTTTTCCTAGCACTGAGTGTTACCCAGTTGATCCAGAGGATCTTGCTTTAATATCTGTCACATCACTGTAGTTATTTGTAAACTGGATATATATTTGTGCCTCTTCACCAGACAAGTCTGTTTCTTTTTTTCAGACATGTGATTTCCAACAGGTTGACTATAGAGAAAATGCTGAGGCATAAATAAGTACTTCTCACAACAGTCCTAAATTTTAGCTCCTTACGCTTTTAATGAATGCCACTTTAGCATAAACCCAACAATCTGTAAGCTAAACATGTTCATCTCAAACAATTTCATTTTTTCCCCTGCAGACGTTTTCGCCGACAAGATGTTCGACACGGAAATGCCGCACAGCAGTGCTTTGGCCAGCAGTTCATTGGTAATCTACTCACACGTTTACAAATTGCTAGCAAATGCCTGGAGCAGAGAGCACAGGCTTTGCCAAGAGCATAAGCCAGACCATGATCTCACCTGAGTTTTTTTACTGGTTTATTCCTATAATAAGGAATTATGATAGATTATGAGAGTCATGGGGATGAGCCCACGTTATCCAGATTTAAGAATGACTTTGTTTCGATAGCAGGTGAGGTTCATCCCACAGCATTCATATAGTCCTGCAGTGCTGTCATTCAGACCAGGGATGTGGCTAATGCATCTCAAGGGCCTCCAGTGGAAATCAAGTGGAAAGATGGGCAGGGATAAGAAACAACAGGACTGCATCCGGAAATGTGTATGAAATGCTGCCAGGACACTCAGCCAGAACTGAGAGAGCTCCATAGCACAGAGATGACATGTCAGAACACAAATGTGTATTTATGATCATCATCAAGCTTTGTCCTAAAAAAAGATAGATTACTGTGTCTAATGCTGTTTTCCAAACCTTGGAAAGTGATGATTTCAAAGACTAGTATTGGGAAAGGCAAAACAGAGAGAAAGCAGTTGCCTGGACATCCTCAGTATTTTGCAGGATAACACCCAATACATTTATAATGGAAAAAAAAATCGAATATAAAAGGTTCTTTTAGATAGATAGTCAGAGAAAAGATATTGTCAATATATAAATATTAGATAGATATTTTACCACAGAAAGCTTCATTAAAATTGGAGATCATTGGAGGATATAGAAGATTTTGAAAAAGTATATTTAAATATGAAATATTAATTATACATTAAGTTTGAATCTGCAACAGAGAAGTCACAATGATATAAAATCCTGTATTTTTAAGGTATAAAACTGATTGGTCTCAAGAATATTTCTTACTGCTGTGGAGTAAAATTATTTCATTAATGAGGCAATTGGTCTCCTCTGGTGTAACAACTAGCTTATCTTCCTCCAGATGTTTTGTTGGATCGAAAAGCAGAATTGAGATTTGACTAATTTCATTCACCTTGCTTTTATTAGCACCCTTGGGCCAATACTAAACATTCATTTTATATGCATATAACATGGATATATATAATTTGGTTAGGGTATTTCTAGTTTTTAAGAGTGTCATTCTGCAAAAGGCTATGTGCTCCCATTTTAACTCCTAAAAATATGTAATTATTTATTATATATAAGCATGTATTGAATCCTTCTCTTTCACTGAGTGAAAATGAAATAGATGAACTGTTCAGAAGAACCAGGCACAAGCCATTAGCAGTCTGAAAGGCTGAAATCTGTTTATCTATATATAATCTTAGCTGAATCACGGCACAATTTGGTCCATTTATCTTGTGGCCAGATCCTGTAAGAATCTGGGATGATTGGAAAATTCACTTAGTGGGTCAGACCTTCACCAGACACTACTTCTCAGTCACTATATGGTTGGATCTGAATTAAACTTCACTCTGAAAAGTAAATATACTTTGAATATGGAGTGTAACAAGTATTGGCAGTGACACATATTTTTAAAACGTTTCTCTGCCTTCCAGGTGAAGTCCTGGAGAAGACTGAGGAGCGACTTGTTTACGGAATAGAGTACAACAGCACCCTTCTGGAGTGCACCCCTAGGACTTTACAAGCAAAAGTAATCTGGTTTGTCCAGCGAGCGCATGAAGCTAAGAAGGAAGAGGTAAATATTCTTATAGCCTAATATTTTGATGAAAAGAGCCTGTGCTTAGGAATATTACATCTTTACTGAAAGGCCTGTCATGAGTTGCTCTCATGAATTAATAGATGTGAGAATTTCATCTGGTGTTTGCATTCAGCATCTTGAATGCAGATGTTAGAAATATAGCGAAACTTGATTGAAGATCTCAAACCAAAAGAGAATCAAACACTTCTCTTGCTGTGTTATTGCAGAGGTGAAATATGTACATATTGCTCCCATTGTTAGTCTAGTTTAACATCTATTCTTTCTTGCTGCCTCACCTATTGCATGACAGAACCTCCTGAAAATAGGGGTTGGTGGATTCTCTGCCACTTTTACATCTATTTCCCTATTATGAGACAGGCTCTATCTTTCCAGTAGGTCTTTATATTACTAAGATGAATTTGTTTTAATGGTTCCACCTGCAACTTATTCCATTTTTTTCCGTGAATAATTATTTACACATCAGAAGAAGAAAAGTTCAAGCAAAGAGAAATAGATAATATTGTGATAGAATCACAGACGGGTTTAGGTTGGAAGGGGCCTTCAAAGATCATTTAGTCCAACCCCACTGCCATGGCAGGGACATCTTTCTCTAGATCAGGTTGCTCAAAGCCCCATCCAACCTCACTTGAATGCTTCCAATGATGGGATCAACTGCTCTCGGAAATCTGTTCCAGTGTCTTATTACCCTCAACATAAAATATTTCTTCCTTATGTCCAATCTAAATCTACCCTCTTCTAGTTTAAAATCATTATCCCTTCTCTTATCACTACAGGCCCTAGTAAAAAGTGTCTCCATCTTTCCTATAGTCCCCCTTTACATATTGAAAGGCTGCTATAAGGTCTCCCCTGAGCCTTCACTTCTCCAGACTTAACAATCACAACTCCCTCAGTCTGTCTTCACAGGAGAGGTGTTGCAGCCTTCTGATTCTTTTTGTGCCTCTCCTCTGGAGTTTTCCAACAGGTCCTTGTCCTTCTTATGTTGGGGCCCCCAGAGCTGGACAAAGTACTCCAGGTGTGATCTCACAATAGCAGAGTAGAGGGGCAGAATCACCTCCCTCGACCTGCTGGCCACGCTTCTTGTGATGCAGTCCAGGATATAGACAGTGAACACACAGTGCCAGCTCATGTCCAATTTTCCATCCACCAATATACCCAGGTCCTTCACTGCAAGGTTTTTTTCAATCCATTCATCGCCCAGTACTTCTCGTCCCCTTGTATTCGGCATCTTAGTGTTAAATAGAAAGATGGAGATGCCATTCTTCTGAACACTTCTGCTGGCTGGATTAGACAGCTGTGTTCTCCCTGCTTGCTAGCATCAGAGAATACGTTGCAGTTAATAACCTAGCTCTCGGGAGCTGTAGGGGGAACTCAAACACCAAGCTCAGAACTGTGGCTTTAAGACCTCATTGGCCCAGCAGTTAGAAATAAAAATGTCTATGGGTGCTGCCTCAAAAACATTTGTCAATGTACAAGAGCATTCACAGGGACAGTTATTGGAGGTCACCTGGCAAATGCCCATTTGTTTTCTATCCACTAGTTTACTTGCATGTTCAACCCTATTTCCCTCTATGATTTAGCCACAAGTGACTAACCCACGCTGGGAAAACAGGAAAGTATCTGCCCCACTATCTGTTCTACCATGCTTGCCAGATTCTCTAGATTGTTTTCCTTTCACAGCTCAACTTCTTTACTTCAAGTAAATATTTTCTTTATTTAAAAACTGTGAAATAAGGCAACATGGATTCCTAATTGTCCTCTTGAAATGTAATATTATGTTCATGAAAGGACATTTCAGAAGTAATTGCACTGATTTAATGTAATAATAAAGGCCTGTGCTCTATAACTGCATCAATTTTGTTTTTCAGGTGAAGACAGATGATAGAATAATCAAAATGGACCTTGGCCTCTTATTCCTGAAGCTGCATCGTTTGGATGCAGGGACCTATTTTTGTCAGACAGTGGAACACAGCATTGTTCATACTGTCAGGAAAATCACCCTGGAAATAGTTGAGGAAGAGCGTGTAGATGAAATGTTCAATAAAGACTATGAGGAGGAGATACCTCACAAGATGCCATGCCCAATGCAGAGCAGTATACCTCAGGCATCAAAGCCATGGTACAAGGAATTTCTTCAACTAATAGGTTATAGCAACTTCCAGAGGGTGGAGGAATACTGTGAAAAAGTGTGGTGTACAGATAAGAAGAGAAAAAAGCTAAAAATGTCTCCATCCAAGTGGAAATATGCCAACCCTCAAGAGAAGAAGGCAAGGATCCGGCCAGAGCATTACCGGTTGCCCAGGAACATAGCTGACTCTTGATGGACAAACATCCATCTACTGTTTCTGGGCAAGATTTTATTTGGACTTAAGTAAGAGGGTGAAATCAGTCTTGGTTTTGGTAATTGACACAGGTTTATATATGAAATATGAGGACTGAAAACAAAAATGCTATGGTAAGTTATACTGTACACTCATGATGACTGTTTAGAAGCATTTTAAACAAAATCTTCTTAACTTTCTGATTCTAAGTAGGTCAACACAATCAGAGTTTTGCATTAGGGAGGACGTGACAATCTTCAGACTTTGAGTGCTTGAATCAGTTTCCTGTGTGGACCATGCTTGCGCTGTATATTGTTGCATATGATGGCATATTTAAGCAAATTCAAATAGCTAAGCATTCACAAGCAGATGACAAGTATAACACGTTTTTTCTTCGTTTCACAAATTTCTCATGCTTCTGAAAGCAGCACGTCTTAAGATCTTTCCTTTTGATTGTGACCTGTCTGAGTTTCTCACTGAGAACAATGAGTTGTGTTAATACAGTGTACTGCTATTTGTAAAGATAATGAAGGGAAAATACTATTTACTTCCCAACATTTTTTGTCTTATCAGTCATTTATGAAGCGCAATGTGCTCTCACAGCTAAATAATATTCCCTAGTAACTCGATGTAAGTCAAATGCATGCTGAGAACACAAACAGAATGAAAGTCTTCAACTTATCTATATAAAAATTTGGAACGATGGTTTAGATAGAAAACGAGTCTATCTTGTTGCTAGTAATGGACATTGCCTTAGTAATGACACGAATTAAGGGAGTGCCCTCTTGTGGCAAAACAAAGTAAAAGCTGATGTTATCTCTTTTCTGAAGAAACGTGTAAAGCAAGGAGGTATTACCCAGATCCACAGCTGGTTTGTTTTCAGCACACACTTCTAGTCTCCATGTGCTAAATCCACAGATTTAGAAGGAAGGTGGAAGTCATTTATGCTGGAAAGACAGCATTTAAAGTAAGTAATGTTTTATGTTGTTAAAGTGCTTATGGGGTAAAATGCAGTCATAAAAAGTTAGGATGTAGATTAAAAACAAGAACAGCATTATGCAGCTGTGTTTCTATAGTTTCAGGGTCTGAGTCAGGTAAATCTTTTCCTGGTATGTAATCTCTGGTCAAAAGGGCTGCTTTGCTGCTCTTGTGAGCGATACCAGGAGAGGTCAAAGAACCAAGTCACTTAGAATCTAGGTCTTTCAAGACTTACTTAAAAAAAAAAGAAAGAAAAAAAAAAAGAAAAAATATATGTCTGTAAGTACAAGAAACAAGATGCAGAAAATGCAGAAAAACTAGCATTTCACTACTTGTGAAATCTGATATTACATTATGAATTTGATTATTTTTTTTTAAATTGGAAATTTAAAAAAGATATAGGGAAATTATAAACACAAATGAGTTAACTCCTCAAATGAGAACATGATGCCAATAGGGGAAATAGCCAGGCTGATACAGATTTTGATGCCACCAAGAAAATATACAAGGGATTCACCAGTCACAAGGTTCGTATTGATCTTCAGCTTCAAATCAGGAAATAGTATTTAACTCAGTGGGAATTACCAGCCTGGATAACAGAGATTTGCTAGGTTTGCTGTGTTAACAAACACAACAATCAGTGCTCACCCACTGTTTTCTGAACAGCTTGTGTGTGAGAGATCCCACAGGTGCTGGCAGGACCAGAGAGCTTTCCTGTGCTTCTCTGGGAACAGAGGCTGTCCCAGTCTTTGAAAGGAGTCTGTGGGCACAGTGTCAGCAACTGGAGAATGAGGAAAACAGGGTTTCACCTTGTGTTGGTATAACAGCAGATAAATCTTTCTGTCATCCAGTGGTGTTAAGTAAAACTATTTATCTGAAGGTTTGCACTTCGTTTAGCTAGATTGCCTGTCTAAGAGATGGGACCAGACACTGTGCACAGCCTTGCATGAATTCATGCAGTTGCAAACTTTGTTCTGATACACAAGACTGGATAAGTTCACTTTTCTGTGACAGTTTAATGGAACTTAGTTGCAGTTAGGATCCTCTCTTTGTTTACAGTTATATGGAAAGTGCTAGCATTGAAGGCTGGGGAAGAGAGAACATACACAGAATAAGCATCCCTGATTTATACTTAATCCCCTATAAAATCCTCACTGGCATCCTTGATGGAAAACTCTTAAAACACCACTGAAATCCTTTTCTGATGAATTGTGGAATCCTCTTCTTTTCAGCAGTAATGGGAGTTATATTTTACTTTTCCTGATTAATTTGCTAGTATCTAGTGCCAAATGTACCATTAATGGACTATTAGAAAGGAATAACAGCATCTCAGTCTGGTGGAACAAATAATTTTGCGTCTCATTCTCTGAGATTTCAGGTGGAAATCGTGTGATATGCAAATCAGGATTCCTGATTTAATACAAGAGTGTGTATTTTTAGCTCCCCATCCCTTTAGTGGTTACATGTGGAGAATTGCATTAAATTTTTATTTACTTTTTAAAAATTAAATTTCTAGCTCACACCTTGCTACTTTCATGGTTGCAATGCCTGTGAGAATTCAGAACTACAAAGTCTTGTTCAAAGAGTGCTATGACATCTATGGAAGAAGAGAAAGAGTGACAATGTATTTTGGAAAGATACGCACAAATGTGCTCGTACACAGACAATGTTATTTAAAATGCTTCTTTGTATATTTGGGAGGCATTGTCTGCTTCTTTTCATTATGATTTTGATGTATTTTGTATGTGCATGAAGTGGTCAAATTATAAATATAACTAAGAACCATTTTTGGCTGAAATAACCTGTATTATTTCTCATAATTTCTTTTCATCAGATAATATGATTATGTGCAAATCACTAGTTACATGTTGTTATTTACAGATTCCCATCACTGTGCATTTTATGAGCAGAGATCTCAGATCAGGGTAGAGGGGTGTTAGTACACGGTTGCCAAGTGGGAAACTGTGGAACAAAGTAATGTGTAGATTTAGTCTGTTAATGTCAGGTAGATTTGGGAAAGCTAGGATTGGAGCACATCTGCTGCATTAATGTATTTTGAGAGTAGCACATGGTCACTAAAACCCAGAAGGTTCTAATTGATGCAAATTCACTGAGAAACAACAATTTGGATAAAGCTTTGAACTCTGCCCTGCTACATGATGAGGGACAAGCCAGATTGCTTGAACTAAACACTCACTTTGCTTTGCTCTTGCTCTCTTTTTGTCAATGAGATTATTGCCACCTTGTACAAACTACTGTGCTCCCAGGTTCTGTTGGGACATCAAGCCAGGAGAGTGCTAGCCTGCTGTGAAGTTCCTAGCTTGTATATCTCAAAGTAGGCTTTTAGGATATACACAATTTTCTGTAGCATGAAACAGATCTCTTTAGGTAGGCAAGAGAGAAAAATAATTGCCCTACATCCAGGTGACTGAATAGCAGAGTTAACAGTCATATTTTAAGAAGTGCTTGAATTAACATAACTAACATAGTTAACGGAGTTTCTCTTTTCTTTTACTTTCTTTTAATTTGTGGGGAAAGAATCAATTTTCTTTTCCGCCAAAAAAAGTCAGTCAGTTTCCCTTTTTAAGAAGTCCATTAATCTCCTTAGTCTACCTTGGAGCAGTGAAGCTGGAGTTATTTATGCAACTTTATGTCTCTCGGTCCAGAAGGCACAAATGCCTCTGAAAGCTGCACTGTCCAGATAAGAGGCACTGAAAGTGAGCTTTGCTACATCTGTAACCTAGCAGGATGTCTGCAGTTCCTATCAGCCCTGGAATCCTGTTCAGTTCACCAAATTACTGCTTTTAAAGGAGGATTCATGTCCAGTTAACATGAGTATTTATCGTAAAGGAAGCCATGATTGACAAGCCTTGCCTTTGGGTAATATTTGCTTTCTCCACTAGCAATGAGGGAAATTTTTTAGTTTTAATTTTTTGAGGAAATAAGTTATCTGACTAGCACTATAAACAGAAAAATGGCAGAGCTAGCAATGCAAGTAAAGCTAACAGTCGCTATGAGTTAATCAACTTTTCACAGTGATAAACACATTTCTAAACAAATTTACCAAACATCAACCTAATCCATCACTGTAATCCCATTTCACAAAACAACTTTGCCCCTTTGAGATACGACTCTCATCTAATGTTGAACTAGGAAATATATTGTTAAGCCTTTTCTCATATGTGCTCACAATTTGCTGAAGTGAGAAGTGCTATGCAGCAGGAACGAGCATAACTGAATGTAGTCGGAGCATGGGAGCCTTAGCTGCCCAGCTCCTAGATTCCACAAGATTCTTATCCATATCTAGAAAGAGCAGATTTAACTGCAGGAGGAGGAGCCTATCTTCAGAATGGTTTGGTGAGTCACAGATCCTGTTTCAGAACATCTGTGGGCTGAAGAGCAGCTGTGAATAACTTGTGTCAGTAGACTTCCCCAATTGCAACACCCAGAAAACTCCATTGAAACAAAACAGCTCTTTACTTGCGGTGTCAGCTAATTCAACTGCAGAATTTCATGCTTTTGAGAGAGTTTTCGCACATCTTTGAAAAGCTGCATTTGAAGAAGTGTACTCTAGGATTACATTTCATGTGGGTGAATTTGTATATAAATTACAAACTCTCAGAATATCACTAGTCAATTTGAAATTCAACATAAACCATAAATACATAACATAATAAAACATAAAACATATCCAACAAAATCACACACATAGCCCATGATGACTTTTTCTCACTCTGAAGAATCACAGGCCCAGTACCTTCAACATGGATTTCAAGCATATCTGTGAAGGCATATAGTAATGTCAATAATCATTGTCATCATCATCATAAGACACAACAGCTTTAACTCACTGTCTTCTCCTCTTCTTAATAATAAGAGATGAAATTTGTAGACCAATGGGCTTAATTAATGCACCATGCACATTTGATACATTTTAATTTGCTAGATGCGTTAAAAGGTGCTATTAATAATCAGAATTTGAAAAATGCACTGTGTACCTCATCAAAATCAAGGTAATGGAAATATTCTACCTGTAGCTTTAACTCAGGCATACAGTCCGTTAGTTTTTCAATTACTACATTTTCTTCTGTTTAAATGTGTTACTTACTACATTGTTATTTTGCAGTCATTACAAACAATGAATATTTGATAGGGCTTTTTATGTTAATAGAGTATACGGTGATAGTTTTATGCTTTTAGTGTTGATAGTGTTTTTATGCTTTTTATGTTCAAAATTTGTTTAGCTTCACAACAGCCACCAGAGGGATGACAGTACGTTTTAGCATCCCTCACTCCGTTGTTCACAGGAGCAGAAAAGAAAGTTCTCTCTGTGGCCAGAGAGAGCTCCTCTGTGACACAGTGAGGTGTACAGAGTAGTGCCAGGCAAGTGGGCAAGTTAAACCAACACAGTGCCATGTCACACAGAGGCGCCAGCTTGTGCTCCAAAAGCAGTGTGCAAGGGCACGTTGGTGCTAATCGACACTTTTTTCAGGCATCATCAGTTTATGGTAGCATGGGTAACACATCCTGCTCAGTCATTCTCGCTATAGGGTGGAAACTTTTGGAAGTGGGTAAAAGTGGAAAATCAGAGGTTAGTAAGTCTATCAAGGAATATAAAGCCTCTTTAAGGTGATGTCCATTTATGGTCTTGTCACACTGAGTTGAGGTGCAGTCCTTATTAATATTAAAAGCACAAAATGTGGTTCTTCAGGTTTCTCTGGTTTGGCTTTTTTTTTGTGGGTGGGGGGAGAGGAAGGTGTTGGGTTTTTTTTGTTGTGGTTTTTTTTTTCCAATGTAATTGTTGGAGAAAAATCGAAATTTTTAGATTGCAATCTATCAGGTCCTTTTTAGATGTGTTCATTAGGATGAGATGGTTCGTTTGATTAATTCCACCATGCTGCTTTAAAGTAATCAGAAAGACCATTTCAAGCTAATTTTTGTCTCAAAGTAAATAGTCCAAACATCAGAGCTATCAATTTAGCTGAAAATATGGTAACTAATTCCAAGTAGTTTTGTCTGAGAGAGCTAGCAAATAAAGAGAGTGGGGAGGATGAAGTTGATAGCATTCAATAAGAAATCAATATATATTACACAGAATCACAGAATCTTAGTGGTTGGAAGGGACCTCCGAGATCATCGAGTCCAACCACATTAAAAAAAAAAAAATATTGCGGAACGGATTTGGAGGATGGGTTTTGGTTTTCGTTTTTTTTTTTTTTTAAACAGCATAAATCAGTAATTGATGTATTGTCATTTATTCAGA